TGGTGGTGGTGGTGGTGGTGGTGGTGGTGGGCGCAAGGGACGCTGCTGGAGGCAGCAGCAGCAGCAGCAGTGGCTGCAGCAGCAGCGATTTGGGGCGCAGGCGCCCCTGCTGGGCGCAGCAGCAGAAGCAGCAGCAGCAGCAGCAGAAGCAGCAGCAGCAGAAGCAGCAGCAGGTGTGGGGCCCCACACTCACCGCTCGAGCATGTGCTGCAGCTTGCTCTTGGGCTCGACGCCGAAGACAGAGTCGCCGAAGTCTTCAGCTTTCATGACAAGTCTTTGGTACGTGGAGTCGAGCCTGGGGTAGACATTTGCTGCTGCATATGCGTAGACCCCCAGCAGCAAAGTGAGGCCCAGCAGCAGCCGCAGCAAGCCCCTGTTTCCGGGGATTTCAACAGTTAAGTGTTGCCCGACGAGTGCTGCGTCGCTGCTGCTGCTGCTGCCGGCAGCAGCAGCGCGCTGCTCCACCGCCACCGCCACCGTGCCGTCCTCAGTAACTTTGTAGTGAGTCACTGCAGCAGCAAATGTGCAGCACGAAAGGCCTCCCACGAGCAGCAGCAAAAGCAAAAAGCTGCAGCAGCGCTGCATCCTCGAGGCCGCGGACTCGGAAGCAAACAACAACTGCTGGACAAGACAGAAGTGAGCGAGTCAGGAGTCGCCGGCGCAGCGGGGCTCGCGAGTTTGCACGAAATGCTCAAAAAGCAACAAAAAAAGCTGCAACAAAACCCATTTAAAATGAAGAAAAAGGAATTCTGGAACAGTAGCTCAACTGACACCGCCATACGCTCGCAAGCAACTCGGCTGCAGATCGGCTGCCGCCGCGCCGCCCGGTCGAGCTGGAGCCTCGCTGCTGCTTCTTTGCTTTCTGCTGCTTCCAGCGCGGAATCTTTCTTTGCAATTTAAAAACAAAATCAATTTCTCGCGGAAAGTAGTGGCGAGAGAAGTCCAAGCGAGCTTTCGCGCCCGAGCGCCCCGACCGCCCGCCTCTCACCTGTACCCACCCCAGCCACAGCGGATGAGCGCGCAGTGACTTTTCGCTCGGCCCAAAGGACAAAATCTTTTCTAAAATTACTCGTTTAATTCCATTTTAGGTCCTTTTGAGTGGCTTGTATCCTCAGGAAAGTGGTGTTTCTGCCCCCCGAGGAGCTGAGCGCAGCCCGCCACACCGCCGTTCAAGTACGGGCTGCTGGGGACTTGAAGCAGCCTCATTTTAACTGCAGATTCTTCTCTGTTGCAGAGACTGTGACACTATGGCCTATGTTAATGCTATAGTCGCAACGAGACACCGTTAGGAACAGCTTTCCTGCAGCCGGGGGCTCGTCCAGCGCGGCGGTGCTGCGGCGAGCTGCAAGACAGGAACCAGCGGGCTGCAGCTGCAGCCACAGCATGGGGATTCCAGTACATCTGTGTCACTTTAACTACTCGAAAGATGTTTTAATTACCTCTAAGGCCTCAGTAGAGCTTATGAATTGCGGCATAAGCAGCTCTTGCCCGCTGTGCTGCAGTGTGCAACTCGTAGGGTAGCCCGCAGGCGATCTTGGGGGCCCCAGTAAACTCAGCAGAGCCCCCCACGACAAAAAGCAGCGTTGATATGTCTACAAAGTAATGGCCCTGAGTTAGGCCAAACCTGCGGGGTTTTGCTGCGGGGCTCCAGTTGGGGCTGGCAGCTAGCAGCTGCGCTGTAGGCGAACGCGACCTGCATGCGGGCTCGAGTATTTCAAGCGGATCACAGCTATATTTAAGCCTTTTAACTATTGCATGCATTCCCAAACAAAGAACTTACTCTGAGACGCACATTTAAGGCCCCCATGGCCGAGAAAGCTGCTGCTGCTGCCACGGAAAGCAGCAGCCTGGCTGCTGAGGCTGCAGTGGGGCCTCTCCAGCCAACAGCAAAAAGCTTCAAAAAAACCAGAAAGGGTACTTGAGGTATTTGGTGGCAGTGATGGGACAAAGTGATGGCAATGGATCTATAACAAAGAATGTCTAATATTCAGAAATCTAAAACTCGAAAAAAACTGCTCAACTGTTGCCACACTTCTGCCTGTAGTCAAAAATTGCCGCCAGAAATGGAAAATTCGGGGAAATTTGGTAGTGAAAGATGCAGCCAGCAAGGGCTTGAAGGTGTCAGCAGCTGTGGCTGTTTCCTTTCTGAAATGAAATGTGATCTTGCAAAAGATGCTGAAAAAGGTGTAGACCAGTGGTCTACCAGCAGCGACAGGAAGATTAATGATTAAGTATAAATTGACATAACTTCACTGTCTTGAGAAAGTGAAAAATGGCTGGAGTTTAACTGCAGACTGCAGGATAAGAAGCCTGAAACACACTTCCGATGTTGTATAGGCACTAAGGCAAACTAATAGGAATATTTCCCCAGAGTGATGCGACTTATGGTCAAATAAAACCCATTTGTGGTGGTTTTAGAACAGCAGCAGAGTCACGGAAAGGCTTCTGACGCTTTAGAGTAGTTGTTCATGCAAGAAATTCCGAAAACGAGTATTAGAAGGCTGTTGCTGTTGTGCAACTTCCGGGTTTCGGCAGTCTGCTTTCCCGTGTCAGTGCAGGCTTCAGGTTCGAAGAGCCTCTCTGCTTCTATCATTCCTTATTATGTTATTATTTACTTTTTTGTTCATTCTTTGTATGTCCCGCAGCTCTGTGGTTGGGTCAATTGTGTCGGTTTCGCGCCAAATGATCATTTTGCTGTTGTGTGGCAGTGCATGTTTGCATCTGACTCTGATCGAGATCTTCGCCGTTCACCATCTCTTAAGGATACTTGTGGATTAAAATTGAAAGTTTTTCTATTCCGCATTATCCCGAGTTGTGATTTTCGTTGCTTTCAGCACTGCTTCATCATCTGATACTCTCTTTGCAAGAATGTCTGCTATTTTGAAGCTAACACCGCCACACAGTCTTCATGCTGCCAAGGCATTTGATGAAATTAAATATTTTAAATTAGAAAGTCCGAAAATCTTTGATAAACGGAAGTTGCTGCTGCAGCTGTGCGTGGCTTCCACACTGTGCTCTGCATCACAAGATTCCAATATTGGATCCCGTATTTCTGTTCAATTATCATAATCTTCTCAAGTTCCTTTTCATTCTGCAATTCAGATGTGAACTTCGACTGAAATCTGCTTTATGTTGAATACTATGCCTCCTGCAAGAATTTTTGTATTTCTGTTGCAGCGTTGTGCACTGAACACAGTCTTGCAATATGGAAGGCTTTCGCAGCCAATCTGAGTCGAGTTTCTCTTCTGCAAGTGCACAGGAGCTTTCCAATGCAGAAAAGTGAAGACATGAACATCCTTTGGAAGCTTTTGTTTCCTTTGAAGTCCATAGACTCCACAGTAAACAACTTCATAGTGCCTTGTGCCTTTAGTATTGTAGCACTTTGTGCAATTTTACGCGAAGGGGTGAGGCAGAAGGCTAAAGCAGACTTGGATGTAAGTCCAGGAGAAGTTGAAGTCTTCCAGACTGGCCCTAGCTGCCACAGTCTGTCAATCTTTTCTTTAAAACTTGTGTGCAAAACTGTATTTTTATCTGCAGCAAACAACACCAGCCTACAGCCCTCAGCGCCTCGTGGCCACGTCGAGCATGCAGAGCCAACAGTCTCAAGAGAAGCCTCAAAGTCCCAGAAGAATATATGAGACCTTCTTTAGAAATGAAGCCTCACAGCTCCTGGCTAAACTTCATCAAAACACGCTGCAGCAGCAGCAGCCCGCGCGCTGTTTGCTGCTGGCTGTTTGCAAATTGCTGCAGTGAGCTCCTGAGGGAAGGCCCCTGGCGGACATATGTGAATACTGAAGCCTCAAAAAAAAAGAATTTCACTAAAGTTCAACTTCAGGTGAATCTGAGAAAGCCAAAAGGCTGCAGGCCCCGAGATCCTGCAGCTGCTGCTGTCTTGCAACAGCATCTGTACAGGCTAGCGCTCGAGCTGCTGCAGCCCTGGAGGCCGCACGCGAGGCTAGCCTCGGTCTGGAAAAAAGGAAAAGTTTTTATTTTAAAATTTGTCCAAAACAAAACTAATTTTGAGGCGAAGGCGGCCCCGCTGGCCTTCTGAATGAGGGCTGCGGGGGCTCGTGCATAGACACGGGGGGGCATGTGGGGCGGGGTGTATGTTTCGGAAAATAAGAACAAGAGCGGCCTTTCTCAGTTTCCCGCCCGCATTATGAAAAGGGTATTTCATCTTTTAAAGAATATATAGGGGGCTTGGAGCGAGGGGTTGTACAGCAGCAGCGGCAGCGGCGTTGCTGCTGCGGCTGCTGTTGCGTACAGAGCAGCAGCGGCCGCAGCAGCTGCTGCAGCCGCTGCAGCAGCTGCTATGATTAGGGCGCACCAGGCTGAACAGCAGCAGATGCAGCAAGAGTAGCTCAAAGGGCGCGGAAAGGCAATTGAATTTAGTTTGTCGCAGCCAGGGCCTCTTAGAGTGACTCTCCCGTGTCTATGAAGCCTCGGGTCTGGGGCAGCAGCAGCAGCAGAAGCAGCAGCAATAGCGGGCTGACTGGCCGAGTTAAATTTGCTGCACGCAAATATTTCTGCAGAGGCAAAGAGGATCGCATTATCACGCCAGCTGCTGAGTTGGCTGCGCGGTTCTTGAGCTGGTGCCGTTGCTGCAGCAGCTGCAGCAGCTGCTGCTCCGGGTGGCCTCATCGCGGGGCTGCTGCTGCTGCTGCTGCTGCTGCCCAGTGTGGCTGCTCTTTCTGCACTCCGGGCTCACAAGCAGCAGCATCAACTGCAGCAGCAACAGCAGCAGGCGCTGCCTGCCCCGCTCGCTGGCCCTGCCCCCCCTGAGCAGCAGAGAACGCAGCAGCAGCACCCTGGGGGAGCAGCAGCAGCAGCTGCTGAGGCCCGAGAAGCTGAGCAGCAGCCCCCGCTGCTGCTGCTGCTGCTCAGCGGCAGCAGCCAACCCGCACGGAGTGCTTCTGGGGTCCTCCGCATGAAGCCCTAGACTTGGATTTCCCCCTCGCCAGGCACAGCGCTGAAAGGCTGCGGTGGCCCTGCTGCAGCAGCAGCAGCAGCACCAGCAGCAGCAGCAGACACAGCGCCGGGAGCAGCAGCGGCGCAGCAGCAGCCCGGTGGGGCCCTCGTCTTTGCGCGCAGCTGCTGCTGCGGCTCCGAAGCAAAATGGCGGAACAAATGGCGGTGCTGCAGCAGCTGCTGCTGGCCACGCTGGACCCCAGGCCTTCTGTGCGCCAAGCAGCAGAGCAGCAGCTAACTGCAGCAAGACAAACGGACTTGGGGCAGTTCGTGGGCTCAATGGCTGCGCTGATTGCCCTCGACCAGCCCCTCCCGGGGCCCCAGGGGGCCCCCGGAAGCCCCGAAGATCTCCTCATTGCGAAGCAAATTGCTGCTGTTGCTTTCAAAAACTCCATTAGTGCCAAGGTCAGCTTTTCTCGGAGGAGCCGTTGCGTGCTCCGGACGCGGTGTACGTACACCCCGGCAGTGTGCACGCCGGGAAGCCTTCATTGAAGGAAACTTCTCAGACTCGGTGGACAGACACTCCAGCGGTCTGGAAATCGAGAATCAATTCAATTAAATCATTTTCGTGAAAAGTTTCATCTACTGCGCACTTGCGGAAATGCAAAAATGCGAAAACGGAGGCGAAACGCCTTCACGCAGCAGCACATGGAATCAGATCTTGCAGGAACTTTTGAACTTGAGAAGTTTGAAATTAAATTTTGAATAAATTAGTGCCTCTTGGAATATATATTTTGTTTTTCGAGTTCTCCTGGCTTTTTGCACTTGTTCCACTTCTGGTTGCATTTCCCGTTGTGGAACGGAGTCCGCGAGCCACCCGGTGCAGCTCCCAGCTGTCTGTACACCCGAAAAGAGGCGCGAAACTGGAAGTGGAATTGGAATTGGAATTGGATTAATTAATTTTTTTTATTTCTGCAGGATATGACCCTCGATGGAGCTGCGGCGCAAGCTTGGAGGGCGCTGCCGAATGCAACAAAGGCTGACATAAAGAAGCAGCTGCTGGCAGCTTTGCGAACAGACTGCATTCAGGTGGGCTGTGGCCAGCAGCAGCTGCTGGACTTGTGCTGCAGTTTGCTTCCAGATCCTGCTGCTGCTGCTGCTGCAGCGAGGCGGTTCGAAGCAGCAGGCTGTGCTGCACCTCAGGGCCTCAGCAGCAGGATATAGGGAAAAGCTGGTTTTAGAATTTGAATTTTTGGTTTTAGAAACAGAAAAAAAATTGCATGCAGAGTTTGAACTTGCGCTTCAGGTTGGCAATGCAGTTTGCCAAGTCTTGGCGAAGTTGGGAGTTATTGAACTTCGGTCTCACGAGTTCGAAGACCTGTTGCCCGCGCTGCAGGACATGGTGCAGCAGGCGGTTGCGTGTCAGCAGCAGCAGCAGGAGCAGCAGCAGCAGCTCATGAAGGCCTGCGGCCGCCACGCCCTCACCTGCCTGGCCTACCTTTGCGAAGAACTTGCAGACATTGTCGCCGAAGGAGAAGATCCTTCAGAAGTTCTTTCTCAACAAAGATGCAATGTGGTGTTGACAGCAGTTGCGCATGGTGGGTGTTTTCGTTGGGGTGTCACGACACCTGGGACTGCGGGGTCACTCGCCTCTCTTTTCGGCGTTTTTCAACCCCACTTGAATTTTAGTTGTTGCCAGTTGTTTTAGGTTTTAACAGTCCTTTTTATTTGTATTATTTGAGCCAGAAAAGCCGCAAGTTTCCCAAAAAAGTCTTTTCTTTTTCGCTTTCTTTTGTATGCAGGACTCAAGGATCCCGACCCGCAGCTGAAGGTGGCGGCGTTGCGTGCTTTGTACCACGCACTGATTTTCGCAAAGGAAAACTTCGCAAAAACGGTGCTTTCCACATTTAGATGTTTTTAAAAACACTTTTGCACGGAAAATCGTGCAGCAAACGCAAGAAGGTTGCTGGGGTTTGCTGCAGAAGCAAAAGGTTCCGGGTGCATGAACAATCTAGGGGAAAGCGGGAATGTTTTTTTTGCAAAATTCAATTTTTTGGGAAATTCAACTTTCGGCGTTTTGCGACTGTTTCCTTTTTTGCTGCTCAGGAAGAACGGGACTACATCATTAGTTCTGTCTTGGAGGCCGGCAACGCAGCAAACCCTAGTGCTGTTCAAGTTGCTGCCTTGGAGTGCATTGTGCAAATCTCGCAAGAGTACTACTCGTTTTTGGGAGCCTACATGCCGGCTGTGGGATCAGTACGTGGGGAGTGCTGCACCTTTTGTTAGTGCTCGAAGTGGATGCATGCGTACATGCAAAAGCTGCCTTGTTTGCATGCAAACGCTGCCTTGTTTGCATGCACAAGCTGCCTTGTGTGCATGCACAAGCTGCCTTGTGTGCATGCACAAGCTGCCTTGTTTGCATGCACAAGCTGCCGTTTGTGCGTGCACAAGCTGCCTTGTTTGCATGCACGAGCTGCCTTGTATGCATGCACAAGCTACGTTGTTGTAAACCACTAACGGCAGCCACAAGGACTCGAGAATATTCGTAAAGTGCTGAGTTGAGCTTTCGTGAACGGTGTGAATCTGTAACTTGTTCATTTCTGTGAATGGCGTGATCCGCCATCAAGTTAGGTGGCACATTCTTAACTTTTCCCACAAGAGAAAGGACTATTTTTTAAAATAAAGGTGTGCAGAGATAGTTCTTGTTTTTGCTTACCTGGCTTGGCGCGTTGTGTTGTCCACTTTCTGTGCAGGTGACTTGGAATGCGTTGAAAAGTTCAGACTCTGCAGTGGTGATCGCTGCGCTGGAGGTCTGGAACGCGTTGGCTGAGGAAGAACTTGCAATAATAGAGGGAGAGTCGACGCGGTGGACTCTTCTGAACATTATGAAAGAAGCTACGCCTTTCCTTCTTCCCCTTCTCCTCGAGCAGCTTTTGAATGCAGCAGAAGACGAGGACGACGATGACAGCTGGACTCCAGCTATGGCCGCCGCTATTTGTTTGGGCCTCTGCGCACAGGTCCGCAGTCTTGTGGTTTCCAGAGGCTGGCTGCGCGCAGCTTTGCTCTCGAATCTGTAACTGGGAATCACCTTTTGTTGCAGATTATTGTTGTGGACAAGGGGTGGGGGAGTGTAGCATAGCGAGGGTGCAGGTTCACCGCCTAATCTGACACTTTCACTTCTGTTTTCCGTCAAAATTTACGTTTTTTCCTTTTAAATATAGGACGCTCCTTTGTCGGTGAGGGGCGTTCTATATAGAGGTGCAGGTTCACCCTTTTGTGAATTCACGCCGCCTCTGTAGCTGGCTCAAGTTCTCCCACAGGAGTGTTTCGAATGCCTGCTTGATGTGCTGCTGCGGGAATTCAGGTAGTGAAAGATGCAATACTCCCTCTCGTGATAAATTTTGTGCAGTTAAACTTTGGATCCACTGAGTGGCGTAGGAGAGAGGCTTCGGTGCTGGCTCTCGGCTGCGTCATGGAGGGGCCAAGCGCCGAGGCTATGGCCCCCTATGTGGCTAGGTCTTTTCCAATTCTGGTGGAAGCAGTGGCCTCAGATGCCTCTGTGGCCGTGCGAGACAGCGCAGCGTGGACCCTCGGCAAGACGGCCCAACAACACGCGCCAATTGTGCTGCGGCATTTGTTCCCTCCCGCCGACGTGTCGTCGACCACTTCCCCAAACAACAACGGCGGAGCGCTTCTGCTTGCCATTGTTGAACGACTGACAGACCAGCCTAGGGTGGCAGTGCACATCTGCTGGATGCTGCACGAGCTAGCGGACAACATCAACACGCCGGAAGGCAGGGCGGCATACCAAGGAGAAGCCGCCACGCAGCAGCAAGACCAGACGCCGTTAGATCCGATCTTTCCAAAGCTGTGTGAAGCCCTTCTAAGTGTCTCAGAAAGGCCGGACGCTGTAAGTCGGCTGCAATTTATCTTTTTTAAGTTGACTGCAAGTCAGCGCCTGCGCTCATGGTAAAGGTCTGCTTGGGTGCGTTTGGACGCGTAGGATGACAAGAATTTGCGTGAAGCCGCATTTAACTGTATGGGGGCGTTGATTAAAAATGCAGGTTAGCTTCTCCGAACACATCATGGCCAAGCCAGCAAATCGCATTTCAGTCCAGTTGGCTGTGCACGATTTAAAGCACCTCAGTGCTATGTATGAGGGAGTTTAATTTAGATTTGAAATGTTTTTTGCAGGCAGCGCATGCTGGAATCATCTACTTTTGCTTCTGGACCACTTTGAGGGCCAGTTGAGGAAATCATTTTCGTTTGAGCAGACGGAGCAAACAAAACAACGCCAAGGTGAGTCTGTTTCACCAAATGCTTTCCCCCTTTCTACAAGCTTCCAGCATCTCAAACATCCTATTCATGCAACCCTCTGCCGAATTCTGTATTCCTTGCAGTGTTGGCCTGCATAGGACGTCGCAGGTCTCCGAATGCCCCTTGGAACTGTATGTATTCTAATGCTCGCACGGAAGTGTTTATGATTATAAATGTGCGATCTGCAGGTTTGTTCTCATTGCATTTGTTACAGGGATGTTATGCGGCGTCATTCAAATTCTGTGCCTGCGTCTGGGAGACCAAGTGAAGCCTGTCGCTGGAAAGCTGTGGAACACTCTCAAGCAGGTGGGTCGTGGGGCTCCCGTTGCATTTCTGTGAAGGCTTGCTATGCTGTCCTACCCGCGGAATTTGCGGCTTTTGCTCGACCTTGGGACGAGCCATGAGGTCTTACCGGTGTCACATTGTGTGACGTCTATAGCTCTTCGTTAACGCTTTGTGTTTTTCTGTTTTATCTGACTACAGGTTTTCCAGCGACCTACACATGGTTTGCAAGTCTCTCAAGGAGAGAGCAGTGCTGCTCCCAACAACGTGCATGGGTTCATCGTCAGCTCGGAGCCGAGCGTCTGTGATGCGCTGCTTGCACTATCTGCGCTGATCAACGCCTCGGGCCCCGCGGTTTCCCCTTTCGCGGGTGAAGTGGCTGACCTGTTAGTTCTGCAAATGCAGCATCAACACGAGCCCCAAGAAGCAGCGGCCTCGGCAGTAGCTGCAACGGCCAGCACGCCAACTAATGACAGCAGCAGCGCAGATGAGTTGCAGGCTGCGCGTATATGCATAGAGCTCGTGGGGGATCTCAGCCGTGCACTTGGGACGGAATTTGGGAGCCTCTCAGATGCGCTTCTGCACGAGTTCTACCAGCTGCTGAGAGTATGCTCACCGCATACCTGAACCCTGAGTCATTATATGCGTTGGTGTGTGTTTGTGGACGCCATGAGTTTTGCTTTTTAGAATGCAGCATCTCAGATGCTTTTGTGTGTACACTGGTCCGTCAGGTATACAGACTTTGGACTTGCTTGCGCCTGTTTGTGCAGGCCCCGTCAGTCGACAGATCTCTCAAGCCAGTTGTTATTGTTGCAGTGGGGGATGTCGCTCTGAGCCTTGGGGGCGCCAAATTTGCGCCTTTCACCCCGTGGCTGATTGAACTGCTCGTACAGGCGGGAGTAACCCCTTATGACGCGGGGCCTCCCAACTGGCAAGTAGGTCGAATGCTTGTGCCTTCCTGCTAGTTGGGCCGCTATTGCTGTTTACATGCGGATCAGCCTCGTTTATAGCATAAATGGGAGAAAAGCTCATGCATCTGCATGGGGCGCATTATCGGTTGTTTTTGTGCCTTTTGGTCCCTTCGGTCCTTTCGCACGCGCAGGACGCAGAGTGAATTTCCAGTTTCCCTTTGTGTACGTAGAAACAATTGTTTGTTTCTACAGTATCTCAACCTATGATTCGGTGCTTGCGCTTGAGGGTGTTTGCACAGCTCAACGAAGAGTGGATTTGGTATGTGCATGAGCTGCGGTCGGCAACTCTTGAGGCGCTGGCTAGTTGTGTGTACGCTCTAAAGGAAGCACAATTGCAGGAGGTCCTGCGCAAAGAAGTGAATGGGATGCTGCAAGTAGTAAAGGCTGTTGCCGAGGCTCCGACTTGGGTGCACGGATCTGCACAGATGGTGCAGCAGGCGCTGGAGCTTACAGGGTGCGCCGGCCATTCGTTTGCACGTCACATTTTGTGTCCGGGCTCCGGTACTTCGCCTTTAGCTTTTGAAGCCTTTTGTTGAATTTTCATTCCTAAAGAGGAGTAAAGTGTCTTGGAACTGATATTTTGTACCATGTCGTGTCTGGACGTATGTGAACGTTAGCTCTTCGTGTGTTTCTGTGGCGTTTTGCGCTGTTTAGGGATCTTTTGTCGACATTTGGTCGGACTTTGGGAGGTCATCTGAGTACTGCAAGTTTCGTTCTTCAGTTGCAGAGAGAGGCTGAACGTCTTGCGACTGAGGAGGGCAATGCCGCCGTTGGGGCGAAAGCTCAGTGGCTGGCCCAGGTATTGTTACATTGCAGGTCTTTTGCCTCATTTTTGAAACATTTGGCGCGTATATGATTCGAAAGTTGTCACAGCTAGCAGCTTAGGCACGCTGTTGATATTGGTTTGGTGTGTCGTCGCTGTTATTCTTATCTGCTTCCGCCTGCTGTCATGCTTCTCAGTTGCTGAACCACTACAGCTGAGTCAATTGAAAAACAAGCTGCGTCTTTGCAAGGCACCGCAGCCGTATGCAGAGCAGGATCAGGAGAGGCTTCAGCTGCACGCAACGGGCGGCATCTGCCGGTGGTTCTTTGGCTGCACCCATTGCTGCTGCTGCTGCAGAGAATAGCTACGATCCGAGGGTGTCGCGAGTGTGCGGACCTGCTGGACGGCACGCAGAGCTCTCTTAAGCACCAACACTTTAAGAGTGACGTTCTGTTGCTTGGAGAAATGCTATCTGGGGCGTAAGTATCTGTGGGGGCTACGAAGGAAGGGCCGGAAAGAGAAGCAGTTGCTGGGCCTCGTGATGAGCGCATGCGGCCCTTAGTCTTCCCAATATTTCAAATAATTTTTCTCTCACTGCTGTTGCTGATTGCTGTTGTGTTGCTGCTGGTGCATGCTGCTGTTCCTGTCGCCTTCTCTCTCCCCTCGACCCTGCTGGGTGCAGCGGGGACCAGGCGGCGCGTTGAGGCCTTGTGACGCCGCCAAGGTGGTGGCATAGCAGGTCCTGTTTTTTTTTTGCTGCTGTTCTGCTGCTGCTCGTGCTGCTGATGGTGTTTTTGCTGCTGTTCCTAAACTCAATTTAGGGGAGGCGTCCTTCGATATGCCTAGCTTGGGGGAAGGTATTGCAGACGCCGCTAGAACCGTTCTGGTCTTAATTGTATTTTAATTGCGAGGCCACGGTGCTCGGCACTCGTATGAGGGGCTTGCGCGCGCTGCTGCTAGCCTGGGTGATGACAATATTTGCGGGTCCCTTTCGAGCTAGTACAACGAGTACAAGCAGGGAGCTGTTGCAGTGTAGCGCGTGCTGGGGTGTTTGGCGTTGAGGATCGGATGAGCTGCCCTGTGTTGGCAAGCATACCGTTTAATAATGCCATATTGCGCGTAGATGATATCCTCCCAGAGCTTTTAGTGCAGTGCTTGGCATGCCGTTGCCAGACACTCTGCCAGTGGCACTAAGCTGAAGCGAAAGGTAGAACGAGGAGTTGTCTGGGATGCAGCAGTGCGTGTATTTCTTTACAAAAAAGCACAATTAGCGTGTTAAGAATATGATATATTGCTGAGAGTAGTCTCACATCCCCCTTGGGGCTCGTATTCTGTAGGGCCCCTCGTGTGGCCACGCGTGCACTGGGGCCCCTCGGGGTCACATCGCTGGTTTTTTATCTTGTCCGAGAAAATAAGAAATAAATTATTGGCGAACGTGGAAGGTGAAGGTTACAGAGCTCATCAGTGAGAGTCTTGGAGTCTGCACATGCTGTCTAGTGCCAGTGCTCGTGTTCTCGGTTGAGCTCAGGCTTTAGCCCTCCGAGTCCGGCAATGACTCGCTCTTTCCTGCAAAAGTTAACTCGACGCATAAAGGAACATGGAACAATACTCTGTGTAGGGATAGACCCCCCACTCGCGTGCCCTACCACTGACGATCTCCGTGGTTCCAATCGACAGCAGCTGCTAGAAGATTTGCACGAAAAATGTGTCTGCCTTATCCGAAGGACGTCAGACTTCGTCTGCTGTTTTAAGCCCAATGTGGCGTTTTTCGAACAATATGGATCGGGGGGAATGGAGGTGCGTTTCGGTCTTTCAGATTTTGAGCCTTCCGGCATCTCTTCCCTATCTTCTGTTTCGCTGCAGCTTGTTTAAGGAGGACAAGACGAACTGTATGGTCCTTCCACAAAGTGCTTCATTCAACTTTTTTCGTGTACAAACTCCGACGAAGGTTGTTCCTGCCGTGGCTCAGGTTTTACAACGACTTTGCAGAGAAATACCGGAAGATATCCCGATTATTCTTGACGCCAAAAGAGCCGCGACAGATGAGGCAGCAGAAGCGATGGCAAATGCATTCTACTCGGCCTACAATGTACGTGCCGAAAGACTGATGTGCTTTCGGCAGCATCATCAGCTCAATAATGCACTCCAATTTGAGGAAAGCTGCTAAACAGATTTACTGAAGATCCTACGGTGCACTGTATGAAACATGCGCTTAATAGTTTGAACTGGCAGGCGAGAAGATCAGAAATCTTTTTATCTTCCCACGTTTATCGTGGGAACTGGCCCTTTTTTTATGTTACGGTGTGGCCTGTTTCGCGTTTCTTCGCCCCAACAGCCTTGCCCAGCAGCAAAAGGTATTATTTCGAGCTGGTGCCAGTGTATCTCAGGCTGACTGCGTGACTTTAGACCCCTACCTGGGTGAGGGCGCGATCCTTCCCTTCATCAAGGAGAAAGGGAAAGGAGTATTTGTTGTCTGCCGGAGTTCGAACCCGCGCAGTTCAGACCTGCAGGGTTTCATTGTAGTTGAGGGTTTTGGGGCAGCAGCGGGCAAGGAGGATGGCGCTCCCGTGGAACTGTACATGGAGGTGGCTCACATGTGTGACAGAGCCCGAAGACACAGGGGTACCCTCGCGTCCATTCGACATATTCCCTTTTTTTAAAACTAAAAACACAAAGGGAGGTGCTGGCCTTACGCTCTAAAAGGGAAACTGGAATTATCGCCTCCTGACACCACTGCCGTTTCTCGACTTTGTGCTCAGAACCTGAGCTTTCCAAAGAGGGGGGGTTGGTGGGCATTGTAGTTGGCTCCACGTACCCAAAAGACATGAAGAGAATTCGTTCTGCCTTTCCTGACTTGTGGTTCCTTTCCCCGGGCATCGGCGCACAAGGGGGAGACCTTGCAGCAACAATAGAAGCAGGTATTCCGCGTTTATTTTGAATGTGACTTGAATGCTGTAAAAGCGAGAATGGGTAGAAGGCTTCGTGCATCTGTGCGTGGCTGTGTGGGGGAGTTGCTGCAGTGTACGTTGCTTGGCCTGTCAAGCAAGCTTAACACACATAAGCTGTCGTGACATGACTGCGAACTTGCCCTTCCTTCACAACTTTGTGACCTTAACTCTGCGCAAAAAGTGCTGCTGCCGCACAGCTCAGCATGCAGCTCCGTCAGCTCTGCGCAGCTCTTCCTTTGCAGGGCTGAGGCAGGATGGACTCGGGCTCATTGTGAACGTAGGCCGCGCGATCTCTGAAGCCAAGGTGAATACGGCCTTGAAAATGGCCCCACAGCTCCAGAGCTCCAACAAATGCGCCGATTTGTACGACAATCATGTGTTCAAGTTGCGTGCAACTTTGCTGTGCAGGACCCGGGAAAAGCCGCGGAGGCCTTTCGGGACGAAATGCGGCAAATTATGCGCAAAGTCACACTATCAGCACACTGAAGTGCACGCGAGATGCACAGTTTGCTCCTTTTGTTCCAGGGCTAGCTCCTGATTTGTTTGCAATCAACAGCTCTCCCCGCGCACGCTGTTCCCTCTATTGTTCTCTGCATGTGGTCTGAAGCACCGAAACTAGGCCATTAAAACGGCTGCGACACGTTTACCGAGATTTCGCCAAGTTGTAAGGGCCTAGGTGCAAAGGAAACACGAGCAAAATGTAAAAATTAGCAGAGCAGAAAAAGCGTCAGTCCAGCAGTTTGCTTCGGGCGCTCATAGCGCCCCCTTGCAGCTCCTCCATAGCTCGACAGCCCCCGCGGCTGGCCGGGGGAGATTATATGTTGGAAGGGTACAAGAAGACGCGGACGCGTCCGCCGAAGGACTTGGGGGGCAGGTTCTTCCTAAAGCGGGCACGGACAACGCCGCTGTTGCCGTGGGGGCGGCAGATCTTCCCCCAGATTGTCTGAGAAGGCAAACACAGTCACATTAGCGGCAGCACTTAGGCTGGATAGCACTGTAGTAGGGGCCGTTTACGCAGCGCGGAGTGAACAGCCCATGAACTCCCATGCTTGGGACTTCAACTGCCGGAACGCTCTCAGCCATTTGGCGCACCCTGAACTTCGTCCCCTGCTTCTCTGTCTTGGCCTTGTAGACGTATGCCACACGCTTGCCCAGGTAGAAGGCGGTGTCCTTCCTCGTCTTCACGTTTTCCAGCTGCAGCAGCGAGCGAGACGGCGTCTGGTTTACCTTAGACCTGCAGCAGCCAAGCCGTGCAGTTGAGAACACCGTGGCTCCTTATCGTCACTGTGCGCCTACCGAAATACATTGTAGCAACCGAAATACATTGTAGCTATTAAGAAGGAGAAAGAAAGCCGTGTGCAAAGGATTGGCGAGAGTCCCGCCGCTTCACAGCGAAAGGTTGAAACCCAAGGGGCCCCCGCTGCAGGCTACCCGTTGGTTCTTTCCGGGAACGCAGGAAATGGAACAATAAGAAATTACGTAAACAAAAAGCCTCACCGCTTATAACCAAGAACGATCCCGCGGACATACAGCCGTACCGGCTGTTTGGTGCCCTTTGTTGGCCGCCTCTTTTGGGACGCCTCTGCCGCCATCTTCTTTGCCTACACGATTATCGGCACTTCAATTGCACAAAGAGAACTGGACAGGTCCCGAGAACCATGAAAGAGAGGGCGTCTGTACAGGGGAGAACGGACGGAAGTCCCTAAAGCATGCGAGCAAAGTGGGGGTACGGGGTCCAACGGCGGCGCCCCACCGCTGTTCCTCACTTTATCCCTTTTGGGGCTGCAGCCAAACGCTGCGCAAAGTCGCAGGGCTTCTGCAGGAGTGGGGCAGTGGTTGCGTGAGCACCATGACAGAGTGGGGCTGCCGCTGCTGGAAGCCAGAACGACTTTCATGTGGGGAGTAGTTGGCCGTCCCCGGGAGTCGGAGAGGCGCATTTTCCTGTTGTGGCGGTATTTCGGGTCTGTGATTCTTAATTTATACATCCTTTTTCCTCTTTAGCCGCCAGCATGAGCAAGGCGCTCAAGGAGGGGTTGGAGGGGGAGGAGCAGCGGCTCCATAGGATACGCATCACGCTTACCTCAAAGGATCTGAAATCGATTGAGCGTGGTGAGCAACAAAGAAAGAACGACATTAGTGCTTTTCTGGAGGTCTTGAAGCCGTTTTGTTCTCGATACATGGCACTTCAAACGCGCAACCGCCACATGCGCCTGTCGAAGACGCTGAAGCCTATATCACAGTGGCCCTCTCTGTACAAATTGTGGCGCCATTGCAACATTTAGAGGCGCATTTTTCTTGTGTAATTGCTGCATGAAAGATAGAGGGGTGCAGCAGATCGGTCTATCGCTTCTTTTTCGAGACGCTTGTCTTGCATTCGCTGGTGTTGAATATTGCGGCTGTGGAAAGCCCTTTCATGGTGGCCAGCTCAAATGAATTCGCACACTTGGCTGCGGCAGCCTGTGAGGCTACCTCTTTCTCGTTTCTTGTGGGCATTCCTCTTCAGAAGAGTTCGCCTGCAGCCACTAGCCCTGTTTC